CAGAGTTGCAATTCTCTGTGAGTCTTATATAGAAAAACTGGAATTAACCTGACTTTTCTCCTAAAATAAAAAGTAATTGTCTTTTTTTTTTTTTTTAAAGATTTTGATTTTATTTATTTGACAGAGAGAGACGCAGCGAGAGAGGGAACACAAGCAGGGGGAGTGGGAGAGGGAGAAGCAGGCTTCCTGCGGAGCAGGGAGCCCGATGCGGGGCTTGAGCCCAGGACCCTGGGATCATGACCTGAGCCGAAGGCAGACGCTTAATGACTGAGCCACCCAGGCGCCCTTAGTGTACCATTTTAAAGAACACTTGTTTTTCCTGTACATGCTTTCTTAGCCTTCCTCTCAGCCATGGGTAGTCATATGATATAGTTCTGAGCAATGTAAAGGGAAGTCTGTGAAGTCATATGGGAAAATTTTTCACCCTGATAAGAAGAGACAGGCCACAAGGAGAAAGCTGAGCACCCCCTTCCCCCTGCCATATCCCTTTCTTTCTGTTTGAAACATTTGATATAAGAACATGATGTTTGAAGCTATGGCCGCCATCTTGTGACTATGATAGAAGACTCTTTAATATGTTGAGGATGGCAGAACAGAAAGGCATCTTTTATCAGAGATGAAAATGCAATGAAGCAGCTAGCCATGCAAATATGGGGGTGGGAGGGAGGCTGGGGCAGAGTTCCCTAGCAGGAGGAAGGGTGCTTCGGCAGAGAAGATGTCCTCAATGTGCTTTGCTTAATATTCACAACTGAGGTTCACCTTTTTTTCTCCCATCCCTCCCTTGCTAACTGATGAGAACATTCTTTCTTTAGGTATGACAAGAGTCCTGTAATTACTCCCAACACTTAAAAGAGTGCAGAGTTAGAAGCAGCAGCAAAATTTCCTTGAAGTCCCTTATCATTAAGGTTTCATGCACAAACACTGCACTTTGGCTGTTATATATGTATTTAATACTTTAAAAAATGTTTTACATTATCTATCCTGAAAAAAAATTTCCATGACTCAGTTAATAAGATTATATTGTGTTGATTCAACCAATTTTGAGTAATTGGTAATGCATATCAGATTCATTGTTTAGCAATTTCTTATTTGTCTCGGGGTCACAATAATTCAAGAACCCAGATTCACATAAATATGTGGATAAAAATGGCAGCAGTTTTGTTTGTTTTTACTGCTTTGTAGTGTCAGGGTAATAACAGGACAGTGTGCCCAGAATGCTGCTAAAAAAATGGTATGGGTCACTTTTTCAGCTACTGACTGGAAATTTTGGTAAGTATATTTCCTGCTGAGTCATATGACAGACTAAATAGGTAACCAATCCATTTGTGATTTTCTTTTACTCATCAAAGCTTTTCTTTTCAGTGAACAAAGATGAAGTTTTATTTGACCACTTACTAGTCTTACACTGACATTTTTATCATATGTAAACAAACCAAGCGTCTCAAAGGATTCACAGTTCTTTATCAACTCTTCATCCAATTCCCATACTTAATTTTCATTAGAGCCATCTCATCCAGTGCAATAAAAGTATTCAGTTTGTTTTACAGTTGTTGGTTGCCTTGACAAAGTAAGCCCGCCGTCTTTATGAGTCAGTCTTAATCATTAAGGTGAACAAAGAATCAATTCACCTTATCTACATTTCTTTTCCTTCATGAAGAAAATGTCAATTCAATCCTGGCTTAAAAAACTGGTTATCACTTTCCTCAACCAAATGAGTGTACTTCTAGATAACAGAGCAGGATTTTAAAGTCACTTCTGACTTTGGTACAAATATGCCTTAAAAAGTATCTAAACTACCAGATTTACTAAATTTTACTATCATATTGAACATAATAAGAATATTCCAGAGGCTAATTTATTTATTTATTTGAGAGAGAGCGAGAGAGCACACGCAACCATGTGAGCAGGGACTGGGGGGAGGAACAGAGGGAGAAGGAGAGAGAGAATCCCAAGCAGTCTCCAGTGCCCAGTGTGCAGCCCTACCTGGCCAGACCCCATGACCCCAAAACCCCAAGATCACCACCCCAGTAACGCTCAACCAACTGAGCCACCCAGGCGCCCCCAGAGGCTAATTTTTTAAGGTGAAGGCTCTATGTGAACCATACTGCAAATGTCCAAAGCTTGGCCCCACCTGCACACATGTCCATACATTTTCTCTACTGAATTTCCTGCTACCTAAAAATCTCACCTTCGTTTGTAGAAATTTTCTTCTATCCCAAATCCAAGTCTTCATCCCTCAAAACTTAACAAATAGCCAATTGCTAACATCTATGCTTTTATCCAATTCTAAGACAAAGATTCAGGTTTAGCTGAATTTACCAGTTATGTGTTTGTTTCTGAGCACATTAAAATGCATCAATAGAAATTCTTCCGTAAAGATACTTAAAAAAATCAGCTTGCCTGCCTTGTTTTGTGTGTTTTCAAACAGATTCAGTCATAAATCTATTACACTAAGTTCTACCAGATCTCATTTTCTAAGTATCATAGACTTCTCAACCATCTGAAACGGATTCCGATGGGAACCTAAAACCATCTCTTAAAATTTGCTTGTTGCTCTGTGCTTTTAATGGCGATTGCTTCTAGAGTTACCCCTTTTTAGTTTCAAAATTTGCATGGCGGCCTTTTTGCCTTTGCTTCAAGAGTCAGTCTTAATCATGCAGGTACTGCTCGGGGTTTGCTCGAACAAGACGGCTTTCGGGCGAGGCTTATTTGCATCTTTTCCATAACAGAGTACATATTTTACAAAAGTACCTAAATACTACCTGCGCTTTTGGGTTTACGGTTGCTGCTTGCCACTTCTTAGTAATGGTTACAGTGGTGCTATCGCCTTCCACGGCAGGTCTGACAAGGCAACGATTTCTGACTATTCAGGGTTTTCATTACCGTTCGTATTTTCACTAGTTTCGGACTTAACACTTCAAATGACCTGTTCTTAACTTCCAGTCCGTGTTCCTGACTGAAAGCAGGACTTCCATTATGAATTACACATCAAGACAGTAAACGCCAGCGCCCGAGAAGCGGGACTGAGCGGTCGCCCGAGTTGGTAAACAAACGCCGCGCAGGCGCACTGACAGCAGGAGGGTAAACCGATGGGTTGGTAGCCGCTGGGGGATTTTTCGTAAAGCTTAAAGTGGAAAATCAAAACAAAACGCTGCTTCTTAAGGTGATAAAGTGCTTGGCTTTTTCTGTTTTTACTTATTTCTGGCTTTTGTTTCTGAGGAACGGGCGCGGCCTTCGGGGCCTTGCAGACAGAATTCCTCGTCCCCGAGAACTGCGGCTAGCGTGTCGGCTAGTTGTTCCAGCCTCATTTGTTCTCGCCGCGGAGTCTTGATCTCCTTTATTTGTTTACAGCACAAATCCACCCCGGTTGGGGGGTTGGGGGGAGGGGAAAGGCCGCACTACGCTACAAAAAATGTCCTAGGCTGAGGCTTCCCCAAGCCACGCGAGATCTGCCCGAGCCTAAGGCGGAACCTCCGAGGCTACGTTTGCGCATGCCCCTGACTAATCCTTTGTGGCGCGAGCAAGTTTTGAAACTTTCTGCCGCGTTAATAGTAAACTAAATCTGGCCCTCTAGAAAGGTCTGAGGGATTCAAGCACACAACACTACATTCTTTGAGACTTTGCCGTCACAACTGTGCATGATTGCATGGTCGTCCCTTCTTTCCGTTACTATATATTGGCCGTGAATTCTGTGTGAGAGGTAGTTTCAGCCAATCCAGTAGTATAGGAGTGGGGGTGGGAGAGCGGATCCAGGTTTTAAAATGAGAATGATGCCTTCTATGTGTTTGGAAAGATAACTCGGGGAGCGACTTGAAGGAATAAATCTGAGGGGCCAAGTTTTGTTTTTGTTTTTGTTTTCCTTAATGGAGACTCAGGGAGACTGTGCTGAACTAAGGTAATTCAGTGGGAAGGAGAAGATGGGAAAATTTGAGAGATAAATGAAGGCAGTAACTATACAGCACACGGGAAGGTGAGACTAGAAATGCAACTGTTGGCAGTAGAAAAAGTTCCTTAAAGTAGTGTGAACCTATGTATGTTTGTAAACAGAAGGGTAGAAATGATTAGGGCATGGTTTGTAAGGGGAAAATTGGGAAGTCCCTGAATAAATGGAACAAGGAGGGTTCTAAAAGCCATAGTTCTGAACACGGGCTGAGGTTAGGATTAGAAAGAATGGTTTAAGGTCACAAGAGTCAGGAATTTGGGAACTGTCTTGAGAGAACTGACTACTCTTACCTCTTTTGCAGGATACAGGGGACACCTGCATAAGCATTGGATTTTGCCCTGCAACATCTGAAAGGTACCATCCAGACAGCTGAAGTGCTCTCTCCCAGTAAGTCCTCTGGTTCCTACCACCTCCCATCCACTCTATACCTCAGCCAGAATGAAATGTGGATTTCGTGGAGTGAAATAGTGGAATTTAGTTACCAAGTCCCTTAGACATACCACTGGTGCATTACAAAAAGACATACTTCTAGTTCTAGCTTCCCATTCACTAGGTATCAGAGTCCATCTTGATACTGGCAGCAGTTTTATGCAGCTTAGCCACTATATGTTGATTCTTTGTGTACTGTCTGGAGTACAAGGCAGAGGAGGGATGGAGTATATAATTTTACTAGCCGACCAAAGCAATGGTTTGTAGGTAGGTAATATAGCTTCATCTGTAAGGAAAACTAAATATAGAAAGCCACAGGATTTAAGTTAACAATGATGGACAAAGGATCCAGGTATTAATTCTTAAATGGAAGTATTTCAATAAAGACCAAGACATGGTAGTCCCCAGTCAACAAGTTCTCCCTTGGAGCCCTTCACTCCATTTTAGCAGCCTAAAATACAGCCTAGTAGCTGGGCTCTAGTGTGCCATTCATGGGACAATGTTCCAGAAAAAAATTCATTGATGTAGTAGAATTGGATTTCTGGGATCTAGCTGAAGAAGGCATGACATCTCAATATGGTGTCACTGAAAGTGTGTGGAATTGGAAATAAGACCTGGGGTTTGCCTCAGTTGGTTATGCCAGTTACTCTGTGTGACTTCCCTGTGCCTCAGTTTCCCTCTTTGTAAAATAAGAATAACAGTGCCTACCTCATAGATGATTGTAAAGATGAAATGAGGTACTGTTTAGAAGGCTGCCCGAGTTACTACATAGAACTTGATATATAATTTATGATCAACAAATGAAAGTTTCTTCCCTGAGCCTCCCACATTTATGTATGCCATCTGCCCCTCAAATATGGAAGCTCTATGTAGCATAAAGCCATCTGTATTTAAGACAGGTTCTCTACCTTGCCTTCACATTAGAATTACCTGGGGAGGTTTAAAAAATGCCCAGCCTGCCCCCTAGATCAATTAAAACAGAATCTCTGGTACTGGAGCCTGAAATCAGTATTTTTTAAAACTCTTCATTTTGCTACTAAAGTTAGAACCACTACTTTAAGAGTTCCCTCTAGGGTGCCTAGGTGGCTCAGTCGGTTACGTGTCTGCCTTCAGCTCAGGGATCCCGGGGTCCTGTCATCCAGCCCCGCATCGTGCTCCTGCTCAGTGGGGAGCCTGTTTCTCCCTCTCTCCACCCTCCACCCCCGCTTGTGCTTGCTTTAACTATCTTTCTCTCTCTCAAATAAATAAATAAAATCTTAAAAAAAAAAAGTTCCCTCTAGAAGAAGAAAATTAGACCTGTGGTTTAAGACCATCTATCTGTATCGCTATATATTTGAAAAATTTCTAGAGGAATAAAGGCTAGTGCTTGAGATGGGCAGATGAGTAAGGCATAGTGAGCTATATTCAGGAAAAGAGGCCACTGTGATAGGAATGTGGTAGGCTTCCGGGTTTGGGATAGGCAGTTGATGAGGTCATTAATACAGGCCCCAGCAGTATATGGGCCTTGCTGTAGAGATGGAGGACTTTGAGCCTCCCAAGTTGATCCTTTGAGCTAGCACAGGCAACACAGATGATGATGTCTATTGCTTTACCATGTGGTGAATCTTGGGACGATATCCATAGTGGGGTGGGGCAACCTTTTACAGCTGGCTCTGCTCTGTTGGTTGGGGAGGGGCACCATGGCATCATGGTGTTCTTCTCCAGTGGGAAGGTGCTTGTGGGAAAGCATGTGCAGCAGGCCATTGACAATGAAACCTATCAGGGTTGTTGTAGCTGTTCTGATGACACAGTAGTTTTGTTGGTACTAACAGATAAGAAAGGTGAGAGGCAAGCCTGTTTTTGTAACCTTTTAGTGAATAGAGAATCTCTAGGCACAGGAGGAATGGCATGTCTGGGTCAGGGATTTGAGTTTCTAAATGACAAGTGACTTTCTAGTAGGACAACTCTGGTTTCTAGGGTTATAAGTGATTCAGAGGTTGAAACCAACATGCTACTTCAGTCTTTGGATGCCTAGACCCAAATGTAGCAGTAATGGCCAGGAGTATCTTCTGCCATATAGGGTAGCCTGTCTTTAGTTGGGTCCCTTTTCTTGAGAAGCACATTAGTTTGTCTGGTCCCCTGCAAGAGCACTGGGGAAATGACTAAACATTGGCTAGATAAGGAAAGAGGGATTCAGACTACAGGGGTCAGTAGTCTAAGTTTATGAAGTAGGAGAATAGCAGAATATGCCCAAGTGACGAGTGGAATAGGGTAGGAGGATAGGAGACTTGGGGTAAGGAGGGAAACATGTTGAAAGTTAGAAAAAGAAAAATCCCAAGCAGTGACAGTTTAGTCTAACTGTTATAAAAATGTTAAAATGGGAGTGCTGCCTGAGGTTCTATGACAAGAAATATCACAGACAGACCTCTCTGTAGGACTTTCACAATATATAGGAGGGTGAGAACTGATTAGACTATTCTTGAACTTTCACCCATATCAAGGGCATAAAAATTCAAGATGAAGACTGGTAAAGGGGTTTCAAAGAGGATATTTGAATGGAGTCATTGGAGTGCTGTTAGACAAGAGGCCACACTCTTTCCCTAAATGTAAGCTTCCCTCTGTAGCAGGCACAAACTGGGAGGAGGAGGAAAGCCTTTAAGTCAGGTGGCAAATTGTGACTATTATACAGGACTGGATATATATATTTTTAAAGATTTTATTTATTTATTTGATAGAGCATGCACAGCAGAGGGAGGGGCAGAGGGAGAGAGAGAAACAGACTACCCCACTGAGCAGGGAGCCCAATGCGGCCTGATCCCAGGACCCCAGGATCATGACCTGAGCTGAAGGCAGTTGCTTAACCAACTGAGCCGCCCAGGTGCCCAGGACTGGATATTTTAGTTACTAACTTTTTCTTTCTTTTCTTTCTTTCTTTCTTTCATAAAATCCTCTTTTTTTTTTTTTTTTAAGATTTTATCTATTTATTTGACAGAGAGAGAAAGAGACAGCTAGAGAGGGAACACAAGCAGGGGGAGTGGGAGAGGAAGAAGCAGGCTCCCAGCTGCGCAGGAAGCCCGATGCGGGGCTCGATCACAGGACTCTGGATCATGATCTGAGCCGAAGGCAGACGTTTAACGACTGAGCCACCCAGGCATCCCAGTTATTAACTTTACTTAACTAAAAGTGACCAGTAAAAGGAATGGGACTGCCCAAGTTTTCATTCAGGAATGGGAGAAGAACCAACCCCTACAGAGTGTTTTCACAGGGACAGTGGAAAATAAGAAGTTGCCTTCAGTTAGTCCCCGAAATCAAGTTTGTTCAGTGTGCTGGAACATAATTGTTGAGCACCTTCTTGTATTTTTAATTCTGGAGGTATAAGGATGAACTGGGTGACATTCCTTCCTATAAGAATTTATGAACACAGTGCAATATAATATATACAACAGAAGTAATATATGTGAGAATTAAAGAAGTACTATAGTAAAAAGGAAGATATGAGTAACTTATTTTGGAGGGGGTGGGGGTAAAGAACAGCACATAAGATGAAACCCAACAGGATTTGAGAGAGGAATAGATGTTTCCAAGGTAGACAGGGCAGAGGACACTGTGTGTCAAGTCTTAGCTGTGGAAACAGCATTGTGTGTGGGAGAGCTACAAGCAGAGTGAAGGGTGTGCATAGCCTTCACTCTGTGAAGGGTGATTAAAATACAGGTGAGCTGGAGGCCACAGATATTATGAGTTTAGAGTTGGGCTGTTGGTGGGTTCACCTGTGGAGAGTTAATGGAATTGTAAAAATACATACACACACACTGAGATGCCAGTCATTTCCTCTATCATTCATTTCCTCCCTCTCCTCGCCCTGCCCTTTTATAAAATTTGCCAATTAGAGAGTGCTGAGAGGGTAGTATGGGAACGCCTCTCCATCCCGCTGATTGGATCCAGCTGTGTATCTGACTTAGGCTGAGTCACACAGACTCTGCCTCCTAAGAATATAGATCAGAACATTGAGAGACTGGGTCATGTATTTGTCCCCAGCTTTACTGAAATATGATTGACAAATAAAAATTGTATGTATTTAAGGTGTACAGTGTGATTTTTTTTTTAAAGATTTTATTTATTTATTTGACAGAGAGAGAGACATCGAGAGAGGGAACACAAGTAGGGGGAGAGGGAGAGGGAGAAGCAGGCTTCCCGCCGAGCAGGGAGCTCGATGCGGGGCTCGATCCCAGGACCCTGGGATCATGACCTGAGTCGAAGGCACACGCTTAATGACTGAGCCACCCAGGCGCCCCTACAGTGTGATGTTTTGATATGCATATACATTGTGAGATTATTACCATTATCAAGCTAATTAGTATATCCATATCACATAGTTAGCATTTATGTGTGTGGTAAGAACAGATGAAATCTATCTTAGCAAATTTCAAATATACATTATTGTTAACTGTAGTCACCATGCTGTATATTAGGTCTCCAGAACTTATTTATCTTATAACTGAAATTTTGTACCCTTTGACCGGAATCTCCTTATATCACCCAACCCCCAGTCCCAGTAACCTCTGTTTTACTCACTGTTACTATGAATTTGACTTGTTTAGATTCCACATATAAGTGAGATCATGCAGTATTTGTCTTTCTGTCTGGCTTATTTCACTTAGAATAATGTCCTCCAGGTTCATCCATGTTGTCACAAATGGCAGGATTTCCTTCCTTTTAAAGGCTGAATAATATTCTTCTCTGTGTGTGTATCATATTTCCTTTATCCATTCATCTTTTGACAGACACTTAGTCTAGACTGTTTCCGTATCTTGGCTACTGTGAATGGTGCTTCGATGAACATGGGATGCAGATATCTCTTCAAGATACTGATCTTACTTCTTTTAGAGATATTCCCAGAAATGGGATTGCTGGATCATATGGTAGTTCAGTTTTTAATTGAGATTGGGTTACTTCGATAGGAGCATTGAACTTGTAAGGTC